GTTCCTGGAATCTGAATTTGTAACAATGTCCGGGGTGATTTTTATGATCAGGCGAGTTTGGGAACCATGACAACATGGAGCATAAATACCTTAGGATGGTAAGGAGCAATCAGTGAATGTTCCCCGGAGGAGGCAGGGAAGGACAAGGAGAGTAGGAACAACACTGGGAGAGGAAGCAGGAAGTGGCACCGTGGGGTAAAGAGATCTGGGAGGAAGGGAACCTAAAAGCCCAATGCCCTTGACCCCCAAAGAGGCCTCCTCCCAAGGTACCTCGAAAGCCACACAGACTCCATCATCAGGGTCAAACACGATTATCACCTGTAACCATAATGGGTGAGATGTGTAAACTGCTCATTGTCAAAGACCTATAGCTAATTTTGGGTGCTGCCAGTAGACAGAGCGTTGTGCTAAGTGCTTTCTGTACATTCTCTCATCTCATCTTTATGCCTGCTTTGTGAGGTGCCATTTTTAAAGGACAAAGGTTAAGTACAGCACCTGATGTCTGAGCTGGGTTTCAAACACAGGTCAGCTGAATGTAGAATTGCTTTTCTTTCTTTCTTTTTTAAGAACTTTAAAAACATTTTGTTGTGGTAAAACATTTATAACACAAAGTTCGCAATTGTCACCATTTTTAAGTGTACAATTCCATGACATGAGTTACATTCATAATGCTATGTGACAGAGATTTATTTCCAAAACTTTATCACCCCAAGCAGAAACAGCTATGTTCTTAACGACTCTATGGCTTCTCTCCAGAAGTCCCAGCCCCCAGCCCAGAGTGTTCCAGTTTGTGCCTTGCCTGTTCTGTTGCTCCAGCCTCATGTGCCGTGAGACCCCAGTGTGCCCTGTTATTGTCATTAGGTGCCATCGAGGCAGTTTCAACTCAGAGCAACCTCTCATGACAGAACAGAACTGCCCCATAGGGTTTTCTAGATTGTCATCTTTACAGAAGCAGATTACTGCATTTTTCTCTTACAGAGCTGCTGGGTGACTTCAGACTGCCACCCTTTTGGTTAGTAGCCACTTAACTGTTACACCACCAGGCCTCCTTGGCTACCCTGTTGTTGTTAGGTGTTAGGATCCAAGCGAAATGAAATCTTCAACAACTTCAGTCTTTTCGCTGTTTATCATGATGTTGCTTATTGCTTCAGTTGTGAGGATTTTTGTTTTATGTTGAGGTGTAATCCATACTGAAGGCTATATAGTCTTTGATCTTCATCAGTAAGTGCTTCAAGTCCTCTTCACTTTCAGCAAGCAAGGTTATGTTGTCTGCATATTGCAGGTTATTAATGAGTCTTCCTCCAATCCTGATGGTGCATTCTTCTACATATAGTCCAGCTTCTCAGATTATTTGGTTAGTACACAGTTTGAATAAGTATGGTGAAAGTATGCAAAGCTGACGCACACCTTTCCTGATTTCAAACCATACAGTTTCCCTTTGTTGTGTTTGAACAACTGCCTCTTGGTTTCTCCACAGATTTCTAATGAGCACAATTAAGTGTTCTGGAATTCCCATTTTTCACAATATTATCCATAATTCATTATGGTTCATACAGACTTCTCTGCTTTCAGCCAAGATCCATCATCCCATGTCCTTTCTTAATCTGGCTTGAATTTCTGGCAGTTCCCTGTTGATGTACCACTGTAACTGTTTTTGAATAATCTTCAGAATTTTTCCTGTATGTGATATTAATGATATTGTTCAGTCATTTCTGGACCCGTCCTAAATAGCCAGTGTGTTCTAAGGCAGCAGAAAAGACACTGCCACAAACAAGGAAGTGCTTGGAAGCCGTTTGCTTTTCTACCTGGAGGTATCTGAGTTGTTTCAAAGGCATAGATTCTGGCTTTTCTACCTGGTAGGTATCTGAGTTGTTTCAAAGGCATAGATTCTGGCTTTTCTACCTGGTAGGTATCTGAGTTGTTTCAAAGGCATAGATTCTGGCTTTGAAAGCAACTGGAATATTTTAAAATGCGAACACTAATGGAAACCTCATGGACAGTGCGCCTCGCTCCTCTGCCCTTATTTGTCTAAAATATGGTTCCTTCGCCTCAAGCATTTCCTGATGGCATTCTTGAGCCGGAGCCCAGTGTCACGGTCCGCCTGTTCGTTTATGGAAACTCTGGGCTGTCACTGGGGTAATTGATTTCAGGGGCCCTCACTCTTTCCGAGCAGCTGAACTGTCTATGCGTCAAAGGCAGAAGGGGGACATTTTCTTCTCGAAAAAGGACTGAGCTGCTAATTTTCTTCTCAGTTCTGGTAAAAAGGAGCTGTCCCTCAAGTTCCTTACTTGTACTTTGTGGTCTAGTCCTGCTTGCCCCACTAGGGGATGTGACAGCCTTTCTGAATCTCTGTTCTCATCTGTGGAAAATACAGAGGAGTGAGCCTCCCTATTAAAGAATTGTTGGGATAATACAGTCTGTCTGCACATTGGAAGAAGAGAACATGATTCAGAGGCCCAGTTCAGGCTGCAAATGTGTTTTATTTGCCCTGTAGTGGGTTAAGGGCAATTTTTCAGATTAGCTTACCATATAAAAATCTTGCTTTGTCAGTTTGCCACATAAAACTAAGAGTCTTGACTTTTCTTGAAAAATTGGAGACTAAACAGCCCTACGGCATCGCTCTAGGGCCACTATGCCTCGGAATCGTCTCAGTTGCAATGGGTTTTATCAAAGCAGCGTTGGGCCCACATTCCTGCTTTGCACAGGCTCTAGATCAGCCACCCTCTTCAGTTTGCTGTGGACCCTGGAGGTACCTGAGTGCCTGAAAGCAGCCGCGTGTTTTTTTTCTTTTTTTCCTAATTATTTCCTTCTTGATGAAAACATGTACACAGCAAAACATTCCCATTCAACAATTTCCACATGTACAATTTTGTGACATTGTCTGTGTTCTTCACATTGTATCATTCTCATTGAGCTAGAGTGTTTTACCACCAGCCATGTATACTTGCTGCCCCCAAACTTCACATCTGTGCTTTAAAGTTACTGTTGTCATTTTGATCTCATATTAGTAATTCTTTAAAGAAGTGCAGTGTTCAAGGCAAACATTTTTCACTAATTGAGCTAAACTTTTTGGTTTAAAAATGACTTCAGGGGATAGTTTCAGTTCAGAGTTTACTGATTATCTCAGGGCAATAGATTTGGGTCTCAGTGGGTTCAGTAAGTCTGAATTCTATAGGAATTTAAAATTCTGTTCTATGTTTTCCCTCCTTTTAATCTGGATCCAGCTATTGAGTCCTTGATGAGTACATTCAATGATGGTAGCCAGGTTCCAAGCAGGTGGGAGAAAGAAAATCCAGAAGGTCACTGGCAGAAGTGATAGGATTACCAAACCTGTGAAGACTGTTTCTTGAAACCAGGGTTTGATTCCAGGTTACACGTTTGCATTATTTTTTCCCTGATTGGGTATTCTTCCTCCTTCTGTACTCAGGAAACATAGCAGCAGGAAAGTATAAAGTGGAAAGCTCTGGGGGGTGAGGCCGGACCTCCAACAAAAGGCCCAGGAGCCACAGGCAGAGGAGTAGCTTCTGAAGGGGAGAAATGCCCTTGTTACCAAACTCTGGCGGTGACAGTCACACAGACTACCCATAGTCCCCCAAGAGCACAAGAAGTCACGTGGCAGGGGCTGGATTTGGGGGGCTTTTGCTGCCTTGGTGTGCTGTTTCAGGGCCCAGGGGTCTGAGGACGATTTGGGAAGGAGCACAGTGGTGTTAGGAATGGAAATACGGCCTGGTGATACGCTTCCCAAAGATGACAGCCAGAAAAAAACCCTGTGGAACAGTTCTGCTCTGTAACACATAAGATGACCATGAGTCAGAATTTACTCAATGCACGAGGCTTGTTTTTTCCTATTGTTGTTCTCCCATCTGTGAGCAAAGGGGGGTGGAAAGTGGGAGCATGCAATTACTGGTGCCTGGTTAAACCTTGTCACACCTGGTGCCACGTGGCATGTTCTCATCTCTGAAGTGGGATGGGGGACTCAGTGAAGCCCTCACCTGGCATTGCCCAGCTGGTTGGGAAGACTGGGACTTACCTGTCTGTCTTCTTTCTAATGCTTCTCATTTTCCATCAGAGGGAATTGGTCTTGGCTCCATTTCTATCTCCTGTTCTGTGCCGCCTCCTCTTTCCAGACTCCAGTCCTGTTTCCGGTAACTCCAAATACTATACCTAAGGGTATTTGCATTTCAGTAGAGGAATTTCTAACCCCAAAGACTGGCTCTCTAATGTTGGATTATCAAGCCAGTGACAAGCTTAGCAAGCTACTGTCACCATTTCCACTGGCTGGTGATGCCAGCTGGGATAAAACCGTGAAACAGACAGACCCTCAAGCAGTACAGTCTAAAATGGGGAGAAGATGCCCACCCCTAAGGATATTTCACGGTGCTAGTCCTGGTCAGCAGTTGCTACATTTTCTCATATCTGATAAAGCAAGTTCCTTCTCCCCATGTCAGTAGCCAGTAAAAGTGGAAGTGCTTGTGGATTCAGGGGATCACCCTTGGGAGCCAGAGTTTGCAGCTGCAGGGTGACACTTCTACTTCCTTAGAAATGGCTCCACTACTTGAGATTCTGGACAAAGTATTGTAGAAAGAATTAGTAGATATTTTTACTCCATACTCTTACTATTAGGGTGTGGTCATTTGTTCCTAATTTATCTGGGTGTGGGTGCATTGGGCCCTTCTTGGGATGTTCTTATCTAAGGGATTTTGGAGGGTATTTCAGAAACATGCTTTTAGGTCTCAGAGGCCCTGGTGTCCAAAGAGCCTAAGGCCAGAGGAGTCCAGGATTGTGACCATTTCCAGCCAGCAGACTGGAGGACAGCAGCTTTGCCTGGGGCAGCACCTGGTGACCAGGCCCTTTCCTGGTGGGTAGGCCACAACTGCCTCTGAGGTTCTGCTCTCACTTGTCAGTGGAGGGAACCAGAAGACACCTGCTTCTGTTCAGTGTCTCCCCAGAGAGCAGTGCCCACGTGACTCAGTCCCTCCCTCTGCCTCTTTCTACTGCAGGCTGGATCCTCATTGACCGGTGCGGGAAGCACTTTGGTACAATACTCAACTACCTTCGTGATGGTGCAGTCCCCCTGCCTGAGAGCCGCCGAGAGATCGAAGAGCTTCTAGCAGAAGCCAAATACTACTTGGTCCAGGGCCTGTTGGAAGAGTGCCAGGCAGCTCTACAAGTAGGCATCTCCCTGTCTTTCCACATGGGGGTGGGGCAGCAAACCCACCACATCTTCACTTTCCTTGTCTAGAAACAGGAACAGTTACTACCTCACTGAGATGTTGTGAGAGTCAGTGAGTTAACCCTGGAGCTTCTTGTCTTTGGTCAGACAGAGTAAACCCCTAGAGGCTTCCTTGCAATGTTCAAATCACTTGACCACTCCTTGAGGATTTCATTCCCTGTGGTGTTGAATCATCTTGTGGTGGGTACATTGCAGCCCTTTAGTAGTCAGCTATGAGATGTAAAACTTTATCAGTTCCCTGCCTTTATCTTGGGAAAGTTCACATTCTTTCCATGAGTCATTGTTGGGAAACCAGTATAATGTCCAAAGACAGGTGCCCCTCACCGCGGCTGGACCCGAAAGACGAGTCTGGAGCCTACAGCAGGACCATTGAGGTCAAGTCAGTGATAGATCGAGCTAGTAGCCATTTGTTTGGGGCAAAGTTCCCCCTTGTCAGAATCATAAGGGTCCACTAGGGTGGTCCTAGGACTGGGATCTGTATGCGTGTCCCTCCCCGAGTCACGTGTCTGTCTGCCCCTCCGGTGCAGTGCTCCTCAGCTCCTTGAGAAACCGTTGTTTCCACACACCCTCTGCACCTCGAGAGCCTGTGGCTCACTGTAATCTAATGCCATGCTCACTTCGTTGTTTCCCTCATTTCGTGTTTATTATAAAGTAATGCTTACATATCACTTAAGTCAAATAATACTGCAGGGTTGGTGGCAAAAGCACCACCATGTCCCCTCTTTCCATTTCCCTGTGACAGTATCTTTCGGATCTTGCAGCACTTTCTACTTTCTACTGTTTCCAATGTGTATGTAATTTGCTTATATTGCTATTTATTAACTTACTAGTTTTCAGATTTATCTGTTAGCATTATTACAGAAAATGAGAATTCAGCTCACACACTACCGCCACCCCAGCCACCACAAGCGCCCTCTCCCATTCTCCTAGCGTAGTTCTTCAGTTTGGTTAAAATCTGTACTCAGGGTTTGCATTATGATGTGTAAGTATTGTTGACACTTGAGCCACAGAATATCAGTGACTGTTTTCTCTCTTGTATAACTTTTCAGGTTTCCCTGCGTTACTGATGGCTTCGTTACTTTGCTTGGTTTTCTAAGTTGTTATTCTTAGCTGCTGTTGAGCTGACTTTGACTCATAGCGACCCCAGGTACAACAGAACAAAACACTGCCCAGTCCCGCTGCAGCCTCACAGTCGTTGCTGTCTTGGAGCCCATTCAACTACCGTGTCTGTCCATCCGACCCTCTACTTTACCAAGCATTTCTTTCCCCAAGACCTGATTTGCTAAGTACCTATCACTGATTCAACCACAGAGTCTCGGGTAGAAAGATCTATCTCCTACTGAGAAGTTTGGACACATCAGGGATTCTCTGAATTTCATCTTTGCCTTGGAGATGTGCCCTGTGGGTTCACTTTCTGCAGTTTCCATTAGTCTGAGGTTAAACCTCCAGACCTGACAGAATGATTTTCTTTCCTCCCAGTTTGTTACTTTTATCTTTCTGTTCTCGAAGGCTTTCTTCAACCATTCTTTGAGTCTTGCCTCTCTCTTGTCATGTTTCTAGTTTCCAGGGGCTTTGGCTCATTCTGTGTACACTCCTTAGAGGGGTTGCTGATCTTCTTTCATAGGACACAGTGTCTCCTCCTGTCTGGTTGTACTATTTAGAGTTTTCCTTTGCTTCATTCATTGATTCCTTCCCTCACTTTTTCCCTTTGTTTTGATTTCTGTCTCATGTTTTAAAGGCTTCCACGTATAATCTAATGATCCTTTGCTGCCTGTTAAAATTGAAGAGTGAGGCTCTGACAATCACTGTCTGCATGGGCAGTCCTTGTTGTCCAGTGGCCTTTGTTGTTGGATGACAGGCCCTACTTTTCCAGAGGGCAACTCAAGATGTCAGAACCTAAGCCTTTTGGGGGCAGGTCACTTCCCCACAGAGAAAACCTTGGCTTTCTTCCTGGTGGGTGTAAGCCTGGCGGTACATTCTGGGATCTGAGTTGAGGGAGGGAGTTGTGGGGTGAGGTCTCACCAGTTGGTGAGCAGACATTCACCTAATCCCCATTTCCAGCATAGCAACTCAGCCCTGTCCTCTACTTTGCAGACCTCTCCAGGAAGTGCACCTTTCTTCTGCCAGGCTTCGGAAGGGGATCGATCTGAGGGTCTGACCAGGGCCGTCCTCTACTCTCATCTCACCCCATGCCCGCTGGGCCTTAGGTGCCCTGGGCCTGCAGTTCCTGAGCCTCTCCAGGATGTGTTCTCATCTGCTGATGAGACATGGGTTTCAGCTTTCTCCGGCTTCTCTGGCTCCTTGGTTGTCTGTCATTATCTCTGATCTGATTTTTAGCCTCAGATTTTTGGCCTCTTATATCTGTCATTGGAATGATACCATTTCTCCCATTCTTCTGTTCCTTGTCAGCTTGTGCATTTTTTCATTCCTCTCCTGTGACTGTTGTGTTTTAAGAGCTGTTGATTAAATCTTACACCGACCATGTTCAGAGTTTATTTTTGAGTGACTTCCTGGGCTGTGGAAAATGTGTCATTGTAGTTACTGTGAGCACCCTAGCACCTCACAACCCTAGCCAGAGAACAGACTAAGTGGAAAACTCAACTCCTGGCCTTCCGGGTCCTGATTTACTGTGTTAAGAATCCTTCTCTCTCCCCAGCCATGACTGCCCCATCTTTGCCGGTCTGTCTGTCCCCTGCTGGCCAGCTTAGAAAATCTGATGGTGGGCAGGCCTCCTATGCTGAAAGCATGTTTTGTTCCAGCAGAACAAAGATACGTATGAGCCTTTCTGCAAAGTTCCTGTCATCACCTCATCCAAGGAAGAACAAAAACTTATTGCAACTTCAAATAAGGTATGTTGGAGGCACCCTCGTGGGATTTCTTTTACTCTCAGAAATGATGGTGATTCTTCTGTAAGTTTTGAAATAAAAACTTACATAGTTGCCTGGGCAAGGCTTGAGAAGGGGCTGAGGGTGGGGGAATCCTCTAGGTCATCTTTGTGTTCACTGTGATGCTGGGTCACGCAGACCCTCTCCAGCCCTGTCTCCAGCCGGCGAGGTGAGCTTGTCTTCCTTTTCTGCTTGCGGCAGGCCCCAGCCCTATAGGAAGGCACTGGTCACTGTGCCTACACACCAAGTAACTCTCTTCTTCCTTTTTTAAAACAACCCACAGCCCGCTGTGAAGTTGCTCTACAACAGAAGTAACAACAAATATTCCTATACCAGGTAAGGTGTTAGCCAGAGAAGATGTCTCACTCACTCGCAGACCTCACCCACAGCAGCCAGGGCCAGCTCTTTGCTCCCTTCCACAGAGGGCTAGCCCCCCTGCACCTCTAGAATGCCTTTATTTATTTATATGTATTTATTAAGATATACTGACTTGTATATTGAGATACAAAGGAGCTCTCTGGTGGCATAGTGCCTAAGGCATTTGACCGCTAACCACAAGGTTGGCAGTTCAAACCCACCAGCCACTCCTTGGAAGGAAGACTGGGCAATCTACTTCTGTAGAGATATTTCCTTGGAAACCCAAGGAGGGGTCGCTGAGTCGGAGCCGACTCAACAGTAGTGAGGAGAAAAAGAAGATTGAGACATAATACACATACCATAAAAAAATTTAACCTTCTAAAGTATACAGTTGAGGAGTTTTTAAGTATATGCAAAATTGCACAAGTATTGCCACTATCTACTTTTAGAACACTTTGGTTACCCTAGAGGGAGCCCTGTACCCATTAGTATAGTAGTCACTCCCCATTTCCCTAGGCGACCATGAATATACTTTATATGGGTTTGCCTGTTAAGGACATTTCATATAAATGGAATCATACATGTGGTCAAATATGTCAACTTCTTTCATTCAGCATGTTTTCAGGGTTGATCAATGTTATAGCCTGAATCAGTACTTCATTCCTTTTTTATGGCAGAGTAATATACCATGATATGGATATGCCACATTCTGTTTATCCATTTATTAATCTGTGGACAGTTGGGTTGTTTCCACCTCTTGGCTGTTGAAAGTAATGCTACTTTGAACATGTCTGTGCAAGTTTTTATGTGGACACATGTTTTTCATTTTTCTTGGGTAGATACGTAGGAGTGGATTTCCTGGTCATATGGTAACTGTGTTAAATTTTGAGGAATGGCCAGACTGTATGCAGACTTCTAGGAGGCCTTTTGGCTCTTGGGAGCCCGTGGCTCTGAATTAAGAACTTGTGGGGTATTAGGGGATTTATGAGGTTACTCAAGGTCCATAAACTGACCCAGGATAAAGTCTCCCTTGGACAGTTCTGTTCTGCCCACTTGTGTGGCTGAGTGGGCCTCTTTGTTCCATGTCCCCACCTCCTGCCTTGGGAAGAGGCCCATGTTATCGGCATCACCTCCTGGCTGCTGCAGAGCTCAGTGGCGCAGGCATTTCAGTGTGCTCAGTCGGAGAGTGGGCTTCGATGCCCAAGCACTCATTGCTTGGGAGTCCCAGCTCTGCCATTTATTCATCTCGGCTTCAGGCAGTTCCCTCATTCCTCTGACCCTCACTTGTCTTCTCTGCATGATGATGGGGGCAGTGCCTTTCTTTCTCATGGGATCATTGTGAGGTTGTAGGGGGCCTATACTCAGAAGCACGCAATTACTGTACCACCAGCGTGTCTCTCACCTTATCAACATGCGATTACTATACCACCAGCGTGTTGCTCACCCTATCAATGCTTTTTTGCAGTAATTCTGACGACAATATGTTGAAAAATATTGAACTGTTTGATAAGCTGTCTCTGCGCTTTAATGGGAGAGTCCTGTTCATAAAGGATGTCATTGGGGACGAAATCTGCTGCTGGTCCTTCTACGGCCAGGGCCGCAAGATCGCTGAAGTCTGTTGTACCTCCATCGTCTACGCCACTGAGAAGAAACAGACCAAGGTGAGAGCTTTGAAGGGCAGTTCTGAGTGGCTGTTTGGAGGGATGTGCCTCTCCTTCCACAGCAGAAGGATAAACTCGTTAGTGGCCGCTGTTAGCTGCCACCCACGGTGACCCTGTGTGCAGTAGAACAGAACATTGTGCCGTCTTCACAGTTGCTGGTATGCTTGAATCCGCCGTTGCGGCCACGAGTATGCAGTTACTCTGAGTGCCTTGCAGGCCAGGGGCTTACCTCCCAGCGCCGTATTGGACAGTGTTCTGTTGTGGTCCACAGGGTTTCCACTGGGTAATTTTCAGAAGTAGATCCCCAGGCCTTCTTAGTCTGGAAGCTCTGCTGAAATGTTCCACCACAGCTGACCCCGCTGGGATTTGAAACCTCGCTTCTAGTATCACAGCCGCATGCATGCCACCAGAGTACAACAGACTGACAGATGGGGAGTGGAAAATAAAGAGGGAAAAGCTTTTTTTAAAAAAAGTTTAATTGTGATTTGGGTGAAAGTTTACAGAGCAAATTCACTTTCCATACAGTAGTTCACATAAACTTTGTCTCATGACATTGACTGCAATTTCTCACAATGCAACAGCTCCCCTCCCACTTCCTCCCCATGGTTACTTCTTCCCTGTGTCCATCCCTCCATGCACTCCTGCCCCCTGAGCTGTCTCCCTGTGCATACACAGCCCTTCTGTTCTCCCATGATTGATCTTTCCAGGGAGTGTGTCTACCTAATGTAAATGTTCAGCTCATAGGCCTGCCTTTGTTTGGCTGGAAGCCACAGGAGTGGGTTCAATTCCAAACCTGAAGGGCAGCTAGGGGCCATAGTCTCAGGGGTTCCACCAGGCTCTATCAGAACAGCAAAACTGGTCCTTTTTTTTTTTAATAATTGTGAGTTTTGTTCCACGTTGTTCTCTCTATCCAGGATCTCTTACATAGATCCAAGAGCTTTAAAAATACTTTCTATGACACAGTTTCCTTGCTTCATTGTTTAAACATATTATTCTCTATCTTTTGAGACCTGGAAAGATCCAGATATAGAAACAAAGTTGTATTTCCCTTCTTACACTCAGAAGTATAGTCAGTCACACTATACCTGAGTTCCTTTGCCAGAAATATTGCCACGTATACCCAGCTGCCAGCATTTTCTCTGTCCACCACCTGTGATCCTTCTGACACTTGCTCTGCTGTTCCTTCCCCTCGTCTGCCCAACACTTGTTTCCCACTAGCATTGCCCCTTTTGGTCCCTCTCATCAGTGGAACAGTGCTACCTTCAAGATCTTGACCTTGGTTTTCTAGTCATGACCTATTTACTTGCCATATGTCTTCTCCTTCCCACTGATGGAGAGCTGCCCCCCCCCCACTAGGCCCTTTTGGCACCCCTTAGCTCCCAGTCTTGTTTGCTTCTTTTTGAGCACTCTTGACTCCTTTACTGATCTGGATTCTGTGAGTCCATTTCTCTTCATCCTCTCTAAACCCAGTAGACCTGACCTCTCCCCTGACTGCTTCTGCAAAGCTGGATCATACCTCAGATACCTGCTCTCCATGTCAGAGTGCTGCTAGAGGGCTACTAAAAAAACCAAACTGACTGCCATCGAGTCAGATCCGACTCATAGCAACCGATCCCTCCTTGGGTTTCCGAAGTGGTATCTTTACGGAAGTAGATTGCCCAACCTTCCTTCTGAGGAGTGGCTGGTGGGTTTGAACTGCCAGTCTTCTGGTTAGCAGTCACATGCCTTAGGCACTACACCACCAGCTAGCCACTTTTAATTGAAGTTCACTTCTTTTAGTTCTTTTGCTTGCTTACTGTCCTTGGATTATGCAGGTAGGTTTTTGTTTGTTTTTATCATACCATACCCTCCATCATATAAAGGAAATCTGATCACCAGGGACATGCTGTAGGGATGCCAGGGGCAGATTTTCATGCATGGACTAGGTGGCAGCTAACAATAAGAAGTCACCCCCTACAGTGAGAGCGTGACTGCATTTCTAGCAGACCCAGTTCTGTGTGACTCTAATGCTGGCCCCAGCAACAGAAGAAGAAAGTAGCAGACCACAAAGTAGAAACCAGAGTCTTTTATTTTTTAACTTCTTGTTGAAAATTTAAATCACACAGAAGCAGTCAGAGTAATACAGTGATCTCCCAGCTTTGTTGTTGTTAGCTGCCATTGAGTCCGTTCCGGCTCATAGCGATCCACCGTACAACAGAATGGATCAGTGCCCACTCCAGCGCCACTGTCACAGTTGCTCCATGCGCTAAGCCCATTGTTGCAGCCACTGTGTTAGTCCATCTTGTTGAAGGTCTTCCTCTTTTTCTCTGACCCTCTACTCTACCAAGCACGATGTCCTCCAAAGACAGGTCATGTCCAAAGTATGTGAAACAAAGTCTTGCCATTTTTGCTTCTAAGGAGTGCTCTGGCTGTACTTCTTCCAAGACATGTGTTTTTTGTTGTTGTTGTTCCGACAGTCCATGATACATTCAGTATTCTTCTCTAACACCGTAATTGCAAGGCATCACTTCTTCTTTGATCTTTGTTCACTGTCCAGCTTTCCCAGGCATATGAGGCTATTGGAAAGACAGTGGCTTGAGTCACGCACACTTCAGTCCTCAAAGTGACATCTTTGCTTTTTAACACTTTAAAGAGATCTTTTGCAGCAGATTTGCCCAGTGCACTATGTTGCTTGGTTTCTTTACTGCTGCTTCCATGGGCATTGATTATGGATCCAAGTAAGATGAAATCCTTGACAGTGTCAGTCTTTTCTCCATTTATCATGATGTTGCTTATTGGTCCAGTTGTGAGGATTTTTGTTTTCTTTATGTTGAGGTATAATCCATACTATAGTCTTTGATCTTCATCAGTAAGTACCTCAAGTTCTTCTCACTTCTAGCAAGTAAAGTTATGTCATCTGCATATTTCAGGTTGTTAATGCGTCTTCCTCCAATCCTGATGTCACATCCTTCTTCATATAGTCCAGCTTCTCAGATTATTTGCTCAGTTTACAGACTGAATAAGTATAGTGAAAGGATACAACCCTCACACATACCCTTCCTGATTTTAAACCATGCAGTATGCCTTTGTTCTGTGTGAACGACTATGTGCAGATTCCACGTGAGCACTATTAAGTGTTCTGGAATTCCTTTTTCTTTTTTGTTTTTCCTGTTCTCCCAGCTTTGGTGGCCATCAACTCACGGCTACCGTTACTCAGTCTCTACCCATGTTCCTCTCTGAAGCAGAGACAGAGTTAATTTGATTCGTAAGTACCTTGAGCATAACCCAAACAATCTGTATTGTTTCGAGGTAGTCAAGAAGGGAAAAACACTGACATTTTTTTTTCTTTCTTTTAAAAAGAGCTGGGGGACCAGAATCGTCTGCTCCCTTTGCTGTGTTAGCTTAGTTGGTGTTCCTGCAAAATAGGACTTTTTGAGGGGCTATGAATTACACTCTTATAACTAGGCCCTTATTTGCTACGGTTTTTTGTATACATGGGTTGCTTTTGCTCTCAGATATTAAAAGGATAATCATTATGTTAAGCCTTAAAATATTAAGACTTCTCATTTTTAAACAAAGAGATTGAAGAGACCATGTGGTCTATTGCCAGCCATTTAAAGATGAACAGAGGGATTCCAAAGTGAGCCTACACTTGTGTTTGTGAAGCTGGTTCATGGCAGAGCCAGGCCAGGCCAGGGCTTCTCTCTGCGTTTCCTGTTGCACTGGCATCTTGCCCATTGTCATGAATTGAGTTGTGTCCCCCCAAAATATATATCAACTCAGTTAGGCTATGATTCCCAGGATTGGGGGGTTGCCCTCCATTTTGTGATAAGTGTTGTAAATCCTAACCTCTATGTGTTAATGAGGCAGGATTAGGGAGGGCTGTATCTTGAGTCACAGCTTTACAAGAGGCTGTGAATCAGGTCCCACCATTACTTCGGTCACACCTTTTATCTTACAAAGAGAAGCAGCAGAGAGGAGGGATATGACTATCACCAAAAAGAAGATTTGGGAGCAGACCATGTCCTTTGGGCCTGGGTGTCCCTATGCTGGAAACCCCTTAGACCTGGGGAAGATTGATGCCAAGGTACATGGAGACTTCCAAGGAACACTGGGCCCACAGATGCTGAAGGGAGACAGGGACCTTCCCCTCATACCGGTGCCCAGAATTCGGACCTCTGGCCTCCTGAAGCATGAGAGAATGAGTTTCTGTTTGTTGAGGCCATCTACTTGTGGTATGTCTATTGTAGCAGCACTAGATAACTAAGACACCCCACAGGCTTTTTCTTTCTCATGGGGAAGCATGTGACTTCACCTTTCTTCAGAGTTGGTGCTGGGGACAGCTACCTCCTTCGTTCATTTAGTGCAGACCTGTGGGAGCTGTGCCCCATGGTCAGGACTCATGTTTTACTCTTTGAAGTAACTGCAAATTTTGCATTTTCTCATACCTTCCCTGGCATGGCATTCCAAGTACTTTGCTAATTCTTTTAATCATCATTGAACTGTTTCTTACTACATTGGAAAAGAAGTAATTTGGTGAAATTAAAGTTTAAGCAAATGTTGAAGGGATACATTATCCATTTGGTTCTTAATTCTGGCTCACTCAGGAGGCGGTCATAGTTAAGCACAGACTCTGGTTCTTTTTCCTTCCTGTTGGTTACATTGGATCATTTCTTCTCATTCATCCAGGGACTCTCTTTCCTCTGTCTTCCCCCATTTTGTCAGGGAGCCTGTCCAGTGAGGGGTCCCTCCTGCCCCACTTCTGTTAACTGTATTTTTCAGTTTTAAAATTTTCATTGGTTCTTTGAATCTTCTGTCTCTTTGCTGAGACTTTATCCTTTTATTTCAGTTAAGAGTGTTTTTCCTTACTTGTTGGAACATTTTTATAATACCTGCTTTTGGTCTTTGACAGGCAACTCCAGCATTTGTGGTACTTGGCATTGGCATTTGTTGGTTGGGTTTTTCCATGGGAAGTGAGATTTTGAAGTTTTTCATATGTTGAGGAATTTTGAATTATATCCGGGACATTTTGAATACTATAAATTAAGGTTTTAGTTAAATCTTACAGAGAACATTAAAATTCTTGTTTTAAGCATTGGACCCTGTTGGGTTCAAGCTGCACGTTCCAGCCTTCTGTGGGTTGTGGCTCCAGTGACAGTTCAGCTTTCAGACCTAGTCCACTTGGGTGCCACCCATGGCTAGTGTGGGTCCACCCCACCGTCCAGCTCTTAGAGTCTGTGGTCGGTGTCTAGGGCCCGATCACGCAGCTGGGAGTGATTCCAGGCATTCACACACAGCTCTCAGATCTCACTTCTCTGAGCTCGTCCTTCTTCACAGTCTCCCTGTACTTTGATCTTTTCTGGGCCTCTCCTTGTCTCTTTTCTGCCATACACTACCCATGACTGTGCCTACATCTGTGCCAAGCAGCACAAAGATCAAGGCAAAAAAGCAACAGGGGTGGCCCCGTCTTGTGAAACAGCAGTTTTTCTAGTCAGAAAGGAAGGTTTCCCTCAGTTTTAACTCTTGCAGGCTCCTGCTGCCATTGCCACAGGGTTGTTTGGGGGCCGCAGGACATGGAGGGAGAGAAAAAGGCGACAGAATAATGGGATTTTCGTGTGTGTGTGTGTATGTGTGTGTGTGGACTCTTATCTGGCTCTGGAAGAAAGACCTGGTGATCTGCTCCTGTAAAGGTCATAGTCTAGGAAATCCCAGGGGGCACTTCTACAGGGTTGGTATGAGTTAGAATCAACTCCATGGCAGTGGGGTTTTATGGGTATTTGCACAAACTCTCTTGTGTAAAATGAGGAAAGGAATTGCTTTCTGGAAGGGAAACGGGGAGAAGGGGGCCTGCTCTGGTCCTTTCTGAATGTGGGCCACGTTTAAGTGTTGCCCATTCAAAATAATGGACTTAAAAATAACAATGGCAGTCTTACATAGCACTCCAGGGCCTGGGTTTAGCCTGCTTGGAAGTACTAGGGATGGTGGCAGAGGTTGTGGAGTGTGTGTCTGCATGTGTGTGTGAGTGAGCTAACAGACCTGCTCTGTGTTCTGTGGGGACACAGGTTGTGAAGTGTGTGTCTGCGTGTGTGTGTGAGTGTGAGTGTGTGGGTGAGCTAACAGACATGCTCTGTGTTCTGTGGGGACACAGGTTGTGGAGTGTGTGTCTGTGTGTGTGTGTGAGTAAGCAAGCTAACAGACCTGCTCTGTGTTCTGTGGGGACAGAGGTTGTGGAGTGTGTGTGTGCATGTGTGTGTGTGTGAGAGCAAGCTAACAGACCTGCTCTGTGTTCTGTGGGGACACAGGTTGTGGAGTGTGTGTCTGCGTGTGTGTGTGAGTGTGAGTGTGTGGGTGAGCTAACAGACCTGCTCTGTGTTCTGTGGGGACACAGGTTGTGGAGTGTGTGTCTGCGTGTGTGTGTGTGAGTGAGCAAGCTAACAGACCTGCTCTGTGTTCTGTGGGGACACAGGTTGAGTTCCCGGAAGCCCGGATTTATGAGGAGACCTTGAATATTTTGCTGTATGAGGCCCAGGATGGCCGGGGACCTGACAACGCACTCCTGGAGGCCACTGGTGGGGCCGCTGGGCGCTCCCACCATCTGGATGAGGATGAGGAGCGCGAGCGGGATCGGATCGAGCGTGTGCGTCGGATCCACATTAAGCGCCCAGATGACCGGGCTCATCTCCACCAGTGAGCAGGCAAGCGGGGCTGAGCCGCCGCCCGTCCTCCTCCCCTCCCTCCCCTCCCCGCCGGTACACTCAAGTCACTCATAGCCTCCCGGCACTTCTCCTTCCCTGAAGTCTGGCATGTCTTTTGTAACAAGCCAGATTATTATTTTGATATTTCTTGACAAGTGAATTGATTCTGTCCTTCCCCAGGTGAATGTACCCTGTTGTCTAAATTCTCTGCTTTTTCTGAGAACTTGAGAATCCTCGGGGCTGGAGATTGCTCAGTTCTCAGAAAGTATGAGCAGGTGTGATGTGTCTGTGAGAATTTGGTTTGCAGTATTTATTTTTGTGGATGTTGACTACCTATTTGGACTTCTTGTGGGCTCCCTTAGGAGCTGGTCTGGTAGTTCCAAGAAGAGGGCTCTGCAGTTGGCGGCCACCAGAGGTATGTGTGCTTCATATCTGCTAACTATCCAGTCTTCGTGACCCAGCCTCTGTGCACCGTGACCAGGCCCACTCTCCACTGCTCTGCTGCAAGTCTGTTCTGTGAGGTGGTTTCCAGACTAGAGCTTGTTGATCAATGGTTGCAGCTGGTAGCAGTGGAGATTTATTTGACCAAAGACATATGCCTCTAAATTGCTTTCCTAATGTGAGCTTTGGAGGCACAGCTCTGTTGAGGGGCAAGCCTGTTGCTGCCTGGTTCATCTTTGGTCCGGTGTGTGTCCAGCAGGGGTGCAGCTCTGTCACAGCTCCTTCTCAGGGCTGTCCTTGTTGACCTACTCCTTCTAAGGAGGGCACCTGACCTTGCACCAGGGGTCAGAAGCTGCTGCCCCACAAGTTCCGTTCCTCCCTCAGCCTCTTCCTCCCCATTAAGCTGGGCTCACTGAAGCAAGGGGATGCCCTTCCCTTTGCTTGGAAATGGCTCGGACCCCCAGACTCTGCCTTTCCAGCTCCCATCCAGGCAAGGATGCCATTCATGCCAACCGCTGGGATCTTGTCTGGCTTGGGCAGCCAGCCCCTCACTGTAAACTCAGCCATCACCTGGAGATCATGCTTCTTGTCCTTGCCTCTTATTCTTACATGGTTCAGAGTGGCCGTCAGGTTGCAAAGGATGTACAGATATCTTTGGGTCAGGTTCGTAGCCGTGGTCATGTTTTAAGAATGTGCACGTACGTGTGGGGCACAAGGGGCCCGTGCTGGAGCTGGCTGTCTGCACCGTGCTGGTCGGACAGGTGCTCTCGGTTCACCTACCTCCCAGTCCCCTCTGTGCCTGGTAAGGGCCAGAGTGAGCTGTGACTCAGTGGGCGGTTGAGACTAGACTAGATATGATAGTTACACGGAGATGTGAATGTGTAAGGGAGTGGATGTGTGCAGTCTGCTTATCAAGGAAAATGTTACTGTTTTACTATACCAAAGGTATTAATAGGGACAACCTTTGACACCATGTATTCCAGAAAAAGTTTATATTTTGAAACGGTTTTTACCGCTTAGCCTTTGGATACGCTGTCCTAGCTGTGATAGCCGTATGCCTTTCTTTTGTATCTTGCAGAAAGCCTACAATAAAAGTTTAAAACAATCTTGACAGGGCCTAAAAACCATGTACTAGAGAAATGAGCTTTTTAAACTGTTGTGTGAGAAACTTTTATATAAGACCATTTGAGTTTTATTAAGTGTTAAGGAAAGGGGCTTAAGAAAATAATGTTTCATAAATATTTTATACTGTTTGTTTTAAACGCCAACCTGGCATCTGGGTTGAACTTTTTTAGGACGTTAAAGTGTGAGTATCAGTTCTGATGTTTTCTGTAGGAATGGAAAAGCCATCATGTGAATCTTCCTTTTTAAATGTTGGTGTCAGTTTGTGTCAGTGATTGTTTTGGCTTCTGTGCCTTATGACCTGGCTCTCCTCCTCTGTGGCCCTGAACCTGGAGTTGTTAAGTCTTGGCTTCCCTGGGATGAGACCAGGTTTCTGATGACATTCCACAGTGAGTGGTGCGGTTGGGCTGCATGGAGCCTTGAGTGAGCTGATGGCCTGGGCAGGTTCCAGGCCTGTTCTCAGAGATGCTCAGTGTGGAGCTGAGTTTTCTTGTGCTGTCACTAAGGACACAAGGCAGTATTTAAGACCCATCCAAGGTAAATCATTGGCCTCAAATTTGGTAAAAAGTGAAATTTTTATTATGTTGTTACTATGTTGTAATAGCTTACACCTAAAAATTGGAACAGTATTTAAGGTCAGATGTAATCAAGTTCTATTTCTGTGAGTGGCTCAGGGCTGTGCAGGAAGCCAGCCCCTTGGTCTAGTGTGTACGCCTTCATGACAGCAGTGCCCACCTCCCCTCCCAAGCAAGCACTAGCCTCGGGCGTCACCAAAAGCCGCTAACATAGCCACTTGTCTCACGAACCTTTCTGTCTCTTTGTGCTTGAGTGCTATGTTTTAGAAGCCGCCAGTGGTTGTACAAGCATTTGTGGAAATATGTGAAATAAAAGTTATATAAATGCTTCTGTTTAAACTTGTCTTCTGGGTCTTTTCAGAAATGCGCACCATGGTCAAGCCACTGACCCAGAAGTGCAGTTTACAGCACAGAGAGCAAGGTAGAGCTCCGTCTGGCTGCTTTGCCACCTCCAAGTTGCTGTGGGTGGAAAAGAGGAGTCAGTTTTCTGTAGTGTGTGATATTAAACATTGCCTGAAAGCAAGTCATGGAAATGCTGCCTGGCTTGTGAAAAAGCAGACAAAATTAGCTGGCATCAGGTACCTCTGATTTCATAGGGGGCTGGGCACACCATCTGGGACCTAAAGAAGCCCTCAGAAACTTACCTAATGCCTCGTTTCATTTGTGTAAAGCAAAATGCAAAGTTTGTGGCTTCATGAAATTTCCTTTGCTTTTAGGCTATGCACAACGTTTCCTTATGCGGCAGGAACAGGTAGCAAATCTGTAGCCCAGAGTACAGTGACATGGGGAGGTGCCCACTTGTGTAGATTCTCTCCAGCAGGGTTTAAAGCTCAAGTTGGCTTCCTGAAACTGGCATTTTAATACAGTGCCACCGAGAAGCTGGGGTTAGGCCTGGACCCACTCATGACTGAGAAGTGCAAGATGCCACCCTCCATTTCTTCAGATGTGATCCTTGTCCTAGAGCTGCTGGACCCTTCCGTCAAAGGTACGGCTAAATGGATCAAAACCCAGCTTCCTGGGTCCTTTCCTCAGTTGGAGCAAAAATGGCCATGGTCGAGGTCAGCTGTCCTTCTCTGTCAGGACTTCATCCGGACTGACACCTAGGCGAGAGTTACACTCAGGGTCAGGGACAGTACCTCACACAGAAGGAAGCAGGTGTCTGTTAGTACCCCAACCATCAGCATCATCAAGGTGGGATGGCCAAGCCATGAGAAGCCAACCACTGCATCCATTCAACTCCCACGAGACAAGTGAGATTTAGAAGTGGGCTCATTGAGGCACGTGGTTCAGTTTTTCAGTTTTAAGACTGCATACAAATTGGGAAATTGCCTATATTTTACACTGCTGTAAAATTCCTCTATTTTGACATATAAAACTGAGAAGTATTTAATAAGGATGGTAGGTGAAGTTACCATTCCTGCCCTTTCATCTGACACTTAAATCTCTAGTACTAATTCCTTCCTGTTTTTCAGATGCAGAATCAGAAATAGAGGAAGAAATAAACCAGCTTATGATTTCCAGTCAGCCTCCAGAAGGGTAGGGGCACTGGTATAGTAGTATCTAAGGCTTCTGACTGCTAACCAGAGGAGTGGCGGTTCAAACCCACCAGCCACTCCTCAGAAGGAAGATTGGGCAATCTACTCCCATAGAAATACCACCTCAGAAACCCAAGCAGAGGGTGCTTTGAGTCAGAAGGGACTCAATGGTGGTGAGTTTGGTTTTTTGGGTTATAAAAGGGTTAGAATTTTGATCCTTATTCTCAACTAAAACCCAATTAATTGCATCCCTCCCCGAAGACAGTCACTCACCACTGTTAACTGTCCGTTTTTATCTTTATAGATTTGTTCTTCTGGTCCAGTGCTGAAAACTATTGTGCCTTCTTTTACAGGACTAACATAAAACTGTAAACTTAAAACATATAAAATCATGAATTACATGTTCTGTCTTGTCTCTCAACTTTGATCTGCAAAAGAAGTTCACTTACAAAGCTTTAGTAGTTTCAAGATCAGATTGCTGTTTTCTTGTAGGGTTGTACTGCCTGTCAGAAGAATACCACCTCTACACCTAGGAGACTTCACAAACGTCTCACTCCCCACTCAGTCTAGCACATTCGTTTTGTCTAAAGAGGCACCTCCCCACTTTGATGCTGACGCTCTCCCAGTGAGTAGCTGACTGCTCTCGGGTCTGGCAGAACCAGAAGCACCGTTTGGCAGGATGCTCACGCTTTCCCTTTGCCACCACTGAACTTGCTCATTAAGTTGTAGGAACTTTCTTTCCTAGGAGCAGTTTGCCGTCACAGGAGCGCAGCGCTGTAGCTGCTGCACAGGATTCGAGTATCAGAGCCAAGCTCGGGCCCTAGGAACCCAAGCACGGCCACTGCCTGGCTGGGTGATGCCGGTTAACCTCCTTGCACTTCACTTTCCTCATTCATGAAAGCAAGGAGGGGGTAGCTACTGCAGAGAATTAAAGGCATCCGGGTGGCACAGTGGGTGGGTAAGCACACAGCTGTTAACTGAAAAGTCAGTAGTTTAAACCTACCAGCTGCTGTGTGAAAGACAGATGAAACTGAGTCCATAAAGATTACAGGCTCAGAAACCCTATGGGGCAGTTCTACTTTTTTTTTTTTCAATTTTTGTTGTGATTTGGGTGAAAGTTTACAGAGCAAATTCACTTTCCATATGGCAGTTCACACAGTCTCATGACTTTGACTGCACTTTCCCACAATGAAACAGTTCCCCTCCTACTTCCTCCCCATGTACTCCTGTCCCCCAAGCTGTCTCCCTGTGCATACACAGTCCTTCTATTCTCCCATGATTGATCTCTCCAAGGAATGTCTCTACCTAATGTAAATGTTAAGCTCATATGCCTGTCTTTTGTTTGGCTGGAAGCCACAGGAGTAGATTCAGTTCTCGGCCTTAAAGGCAGCTAGGGGCCATAGTCTCAGGGGTTCCACCAGGCTTATATCAGATCAGCAAACCTAGTCCTTTTCTTAAAAAAATGATTTTGAGTTTTGTTCCACATTGTTCTCCGTCTCTATCCAGGATCTCCTACATAGATCCCCCTATGAGTGGTTGACAGCAGTAGCTGGGCATCATCGAGTTCTTCTGGTCTCATGGTCATATAGGCTGAGGATCACATGGTGTATCAGTCCCTTGAACTAATTGTTTCCAAGCATTTTTTATTTTTTTTCCTTCTTCTTTGCTCTGGATGAGGAGAGACCCATCATTACATCTAGATGGCCACTTGCAAGCTTTTAAGATCCAGCCGCTACTCGCCAAAGTAAGATGTAGAACAATGTTTTTTGGGTAGTATGTTATGCTGATTGAGCTTGATGTCCCCTGCGACTGTGGTCCTGAGTTCTACTGTATCTTCTAGAGTCGCTATGCGTTGGACCCAGCTTGACAGTAGTGGGGTTGGTTTTGGTATTTTGTGTGTTAGGTACTTTTCTTTTAGATCCTAATCATGCATGAGTGGCCTGTAAATCTAAGAGCCCAGTGTGCTCAACCGTCTGTGACCTGCGGTAGCTCAGAGGCCCACCTTTGACTTGGTGACTACTTCACTCAGGTCCATAAGCATCTGCTTTGAAATCTATGGTAAGACTGTTTCCCTATGTCAGTGAATGATCACTGACACTGTTCTTTTCTGTGGTGCCCACGATCAAAGTGAGTGAGGAAGAAAACAAGTTCCTTACCAAAGAGGACAAGGGGAGGCTTCTCCACCCCCCTCTGCTGGTAGGCCATCAAATCTGTTCCTACTCACCGTGATCTGAGGTGTTTCCTCCATAGGGCTTTCTGTGGCTGTGACCTTTTGGAAACAGATTACCAGGCCTGTCTTACAGGGGCCTCTGGGTGGTTTCAAACCACCTGTCCTTTGGTTAGTAGCCCAGTGTTGTTAACCATGTGTTACAGCCAGGAATTCCTGCTGATAGACAGTGCTTGCTTATTTTAGAGAGGAAAGAAGAAGACAGGCAAAAGGATCAACATTTGTACCTTTCTTGAGTTGCGGTTGAAGCACCGGACTGCTAACCAGAAGGTCAGTGTTCGAACTCAGCAGCCACTCCATGAGAGAATGATGAGGCCATCTCTTTCTATAAAGATGACAGCCTTGGAAATCCTATGGGGCAGTTCTACTCTGTTCTGTAGGGTCACTGTGAGTCAGAGTGGACTTGATGGCAGCAAGTGGGTTTTTTTGTTTTTGTTTTTGTTTACTTCCTGAGCAAAAGATGAAACCACTTACCTTCCTTGAACAACATTTACAATGTTCTCCTTCTTAACCATCAGGGCAAGCTTAGTAACTGCTTCAAATACATGTTCACAATGTAAAATGGCATCCCCCTGAACGGAAGGAAGGATGTATGGTTGCAGTATCAGTGGTTTCAAATATTGAGGTTTCATGGTGGTTAGAGTATTTCCCTTTTAGCAGAGACAGGTGGCAGTCAAGTCCCTTACCTTTTGCCTGTAGTCCTCTGGGGAAATATGAATGATGAAGAGCCCATCACTCAGGTTGCTGGTAGAGATACCTGAAGACAGACCCACAGTTACGGGCCTAGAACTGGAGGATGTCACATAAATGCAGAAAAAGCAGAGATACACCTATGGGTTCCCCTGCTGCCTTCCTCCTAGCTGGGGCCCAGTAGGATGAAGGGCATAGTCCGTAAGACAGCTTCCTATTCTACTGGAAAGGACTGACCAATGTCCATCCTGGATACTTGAGTGAAGGGACTGATATTGGTCATTATTCCAAGATAAGAGGCTGGACAGCCAGAGCTGTAGGGCCATCCTGCATTTATGTCTCCATTTGAGTGTTCCTTCATCACTGGTGTGTCCAGTAGCTAAGTCAACTCAGGGAATTGCCTAAGGCTGAGTACTTACCTTTGACTGCTGAGTATTCTATTTTCTGCTTGATTTTGGCAAGTTCCACCACGTAAGCTGCTTTCTGAGTAAGAATGAGTTGCCGCTGCCGTGCCTTGAAGCCTTTCCTGTCATATTTAATGACCGGGATACCATACTGCAAGGAGTTCACCATCACCACAAGGGGAAGGTTACATCTTAGGGATGGAATACTGAGTTGTGTAGTGGTTACTCAGACTATGGTACTTCAAGCACTCAGCCCAAACCAATTGTTCCTGCGTGGGATAATCTGGTCCCAGCTCTGCTCCCAGAGGACAAGGGAGATGGAAACACTGCAGGTGTGAAAACCCTATAAAGACCAGAAGCCCTCATGGCCAGAAGGGATTCCAGTCCCCATCACAAGGGCACCCAAAGGGGCCAAGTAGCATTAGTGGGCAGCACACAGTAATGGCAAACACTCCCCTACCACTATATGCCAGGCAACGATAGCCTTCACACCCACCAACTGACTCATCCTCTCAGTAACAGTTATCTGCACTCATAGATGAATGGACGCACAGAGCTGATGGGACGTGCCAGGCCTCACAGCTGCGAAATTATGGAGGCAGCATCTACTCCCAGGCCCTTGCCATATACTCCTCACAAATAGGGAATGGCTACATACAAGTTTCATAGGAAAGCAAGACAGTTTCTAGAGGAGCGTGTGACAGCAGCAGGCACCCACCCCATTCTCACTTAGTAACCTGAGCACCGTAGCCCTGGCTTTGCAGCAGTGCTTCCAGATGCACTCTAGAAAACAGCCTGCTCTCAGACTTGACAAAGACATCTTGTTTGGGGCTAAGGACAGACATCGCCTTACCTGGATTTTCTCACTGCTGATGACTTGAAGCACTTTGGGATTAATGTCTTCTTCCTCTAAAGAGGGAATCAAATACCATCACCAATAAGTTCCTACCCCGTGATCAAGTCTCTCTGGATCTCTGCTCTCTCCCTCTGTGACCAAGAGCTCAGGTGAGAAATGGCAATTTTCCATTTTAAGATATGGGGCCGAGCATCTTCTGTGGCCTTTCTTAGAAGAAAGAGAGTGAGTCACATGAAGTGGGACTTACTGAGCCGGCTGTTGGCAAAGGGCTGATTTAAGCTTTCTGCATAACCATCTTTCTTGCCCCTGAACATGTCACTGGTGACCACCTTTTGCTGCATCTGGTGATAAACAATTGAAAAGCACAGTGATGGCTACTGGGGCTCTTTGGGACAGAGGGTCTTCATACACACTGTCTCACCTACTCCTGAGGAAGCTGCAGGAGCCTTGTTAAACCTGACTTTGGCACATGCCCTACAACCCACACTGGTCAGGAAGAGGGGCTGACCCTCTGCCTGTTCGCTAACTTACACTGGCTTCCTGAAAGTACACACAACAGCTTCTTGTAGGCCAGAGTTCAGCAAGTACGCCCCGTGGGCCAGATCCAGCCCACCACCTGTTTTGTTTCTGTAAGTTTCTGCTGAACACAGCTCTGTCATCCTGTTGACATACTGTCTAGGGCTGCTCTCAGCACACTGGCAATGGAGTAGTTGTAACAGACTGTAGGGCCCACAAACCCTGAAATAATTACCCTCTGGCCCAACCATAACTAAAGCCAGATCTTTGACAGAGAAGGGGTCTCAAACTCTTTACAGTGCAGTAGCCATCTGGAGTGCCTTCACACAGCATCTGTGATTATAGCCAACAGATCCTGAGGGCTACATGTGTGTTTAATCCTCAGTATGCCTGCAGGGTTCAGGGTTAGTCTGACCCCTCATCTCAGAGGTGACACATGGAGTCCGGCTGTAGGACTGGCACTCCCCTCCACCATCCTGCCGCCCAGCAGACACACCAAGTCCCTACCTGGGCACTTCTCTCCACGGGGAGTCCACGGCAGTACTTCCGAACCAGGTTCCTGGTGCACATTTTCCTGAGCAGATCTGACGCCTGTATGGAGAACACATGTCTTTTCCACCTGCCTCACCCACACTGTTCCAGCCACCCAAACAGGCTGTTAAAGCACAGTGTTAATATTTTACAAAGGAAGCAGCATCTAACTTCCTGATCTTGCTGTGATCTGCCAGAGCACTGGTTCTCTGGCCTGACCGTCTTTATGAGTCACCGAGATGCTGGCTAAAACGACAGATACCTGGAGCTTCTGATTCAGTCAACCTAGGGTGGGCCCGGGAATCGGCACCAATGGTAGCTCCCACCCCAGGTTTCAGACACAGACTCCTCAGGCCATCTTTGAGAAAGACTGTCCTAGACAACAGTCACTTAACCTGTGTGGAGGGCTACATCAGGGACAGTGTTAGCTGTCATCAAGTCAGCCCTCGACCCGGGTGACCCCATGCAGAGCAGAACTAAATGCTGCCCCGGCCTGCATCATCCCTGTGATGGGCAACAGATCAGACTGTTGTGAACACGGAGTTTGCATCGGCTGGTGTTTGGAAGCTCACCAGGCGTTGCTTCCTGAGTCCTGCATCCTGGAAGCTCTGCTGGAACTTGGCCAGCATCATAGCAACGTGCAGGCCTCCGCTGACGGACGGGCAATGGCTGGGAATGCAACCCGATCTCCAGCACAGAAGGCAAGAATTCCACCGCTGAACCCTCTCTGCCCCCACATCGAGGACAGAACCCATTTAAAAGTGCTCTCTCTGATCAGATTGTGTGAATTTTGAGGAATTAAATTTCTTGTGCAAGGAAGTGCTTTGCTGAGTCAGTCCGCTGAAGCCGAGAGAGGCACAGCACAAAGGAATACCGGAGTTAACTGCGTCAGTGCGTCTGCCCTTGCAGCATCAGAGCTACAACAGCCTTTACGGCAGTGCCCCTGCCCTCGCGGCGTCAGAGCGCCAACAGTCCTTACATCTTTCAGGAGGCCAGGGGGCCGCAGCCAGCTCTTGTCCAGAACGTTCTTTGGAATGTGATACCGCAGATTCAAGATGTAATTCTTCCGCACAAATGCTACAAACTCCTCGTCGTCAGGAGAAAGGGGTTTGTCACGATTGATGAACCCCTTTATGAACCTACACAGGAAAGGGTGTGTTAGTTTTCTGGCCCATTTTGTCACTGGGACTTGCTGTTCTTCCCTGTGTGTTTAATTCAGAGGCCAAAACAGAGATTATAAGCTAGTGCTGCTTCACCTATACCATTTCTTAAAAAGTAAGTTGAATTAGTTGCCAAAGAACTGGAAGATGTCACATGAAATCCTAGCTTCCCCCCCACACCTCAAAATAAATAAATAAGATCTGGTAACACTGGCCTGGCATTTCTCCAAGGCTGCAGTCAAAGGGAACAGAGTGGTTTCTGCCCTCTCTGAGGTGGACTCAGCTTTCCAGTTTGCCACAGTCCCCCATCATTCCCTGCTGCCTTATCCAGCTCATGGGACTTGCTCACTTTACCCAGCTGGCATCAGAAGGCATCTGACGTTGTGACTTTTGAGCTAGACTAAGAGAAACTACAGATCTAAAGAGTTGTGGCTACCATCCAGTCAGGGACCTCAGAGCAAGAAACCTCCAAATGCCTAAGGGTTAATGTTGTGGAGGGAGAATATCCACGCTGCACGAAACCAAAAAGCACAGAAAGCCTTGGCCACGTCCATGAGCACCCTTTTTGCAGCGTACCAGTGATTAGTGGCCACTCCTCCCGGTTGGACCCGTGAACTTACTTTCTTATAACGTGCACAGCCCACTTCCTTTTCTTGGCCTCCTTCCGAGCCAAGGCTCCACGCCAGTGGGCTTCAAGTTTGATGGCTGAAAGAGTGCATGGCTGACATTAGAAGGCTAGCACAATCATATTTAAATACAGAAGGCTTGTTCAGAATTCTTCCTTCCTCCACAGCCTTCGGGACGCCCACACGGCACTCTGCTAGCCCCAGAGATGGAAAGCTGGGTCGGCAGCATCATCCTTACCTGGGCACACACACTGACACCAGCCAGGGAGTCAGAGCTCCCAAGACATTTTCAGGGCCAAGAGTGGTACTTGTGATGGTTTAGGGTCTCACCAGTGTTTTCTTTACCTTGGTTTTATCATCTGCATTTAAAAATCGGGAGACCTGAGCCGATCGGGACACACAGAAGGTAGATGTCTGGCTTCTCTCCCAATTTTCAAATGTCGGCAGGTTTCAGAGTTCTCGGATATGTGCATTTGTGGTTGAGAGACCAACAGATGCAAACGTCTGCCAACAAGAGCTGCTGAACTGTGGTATGTTCACGCAGCCCAGGGGCCACCAGCAAGCTCCTGCCTGAGGGCCGGCAGCCTGTTTGTGGAAGTGAAGTTGTACTGGAACGCAGCCATGCTCATATTAGTGAAACAGTGGCTGCGCTGAGTAGTTGTGACAGAGACCACATGACCTACAAGCCTAAAATATTTACGTTCTGGCCCTTGAGTTGACTTCTGATAGAGAGGCATACTGCGCTATGGAACTGTGACGACAAATAGCTAAGTCCACATGCACCTCCTGGCTAAACTTCTAGAATGTGATGCTTTGTGCAGAACGTCACAAAAAATAGTCAATTTTATTTTCACTAACTTAATACTGTGCCAGATGATGGATGTATTGTTTAGTGATGTATCTGTAGGCGGTATAGCTATAAAGAAAAGCAAGAGAATGAAACATGCAAAATTAAGGAGAGAGGTCACTTCCAAGAAGTGGGGGTAGGGGGCAGCCTTTGAGAGTTTTGTAGTGTTTGTAAATTTTAAAAATTACTGTTTAAACGTGCAGATACTGTGGGTGGAATAAAACACGTCCAGGCAACAAATAGCACCTCCAGTCAGTGGAGGAGGCCCCAGAACGGAGCCTGGGCGGCTCACCCTGAGGTCTCGGGGACAGGCAGGACGAGAGCCACAGAGGAGCCCACAACGGAGGGGAACGTGGGTGACTCTGGCCCGTTGCGGACAGGCAACTTTGTTGCCGTCTCACCTGCTTGTCTCTTTTTCAGGTATGCTCTTCTTCCTGAGCAGCCTCTGTATGTGGCTTGGATTCTCGCAACTTAAAATAAAACAAAAGTTTTAATGAAACAGCTTTCGTTTGGGGTTCTTTGTATTGACACCCTCCTCCCCAACGCCCCCACCACCCTGGCGCGATGGCAGACACTGCCCCAGAGCGGTGCAGTCTAAGGAGAACACAGGAAGCCTCAGCGCCGACATGACAGCAGGCTGGGTAAAGGAAGCCTGGAGCTGTGGCGCTTCCGCCCCCCCCCCTTCATCCTCTCACAGTGTAAAGGACAGACACATCGAAGCAGCACCCCAGAAGGTGGCATCTCAGGCACATTTTGCAGACGGGCCCAAAGCCCAGGCGGGACAAGACCCTCCTGCAGCTGGAGGCAGCACAGCGAGCAGCTATATAGAGGCATTTGAACCCAGGTCTGAGTGACCGCAAGATACACTTGAACCTCCATCCCCCGCCACCCCCGCCACATAGTGACTGAGGTCCTATGAGGGGCCAGGCTCGCCCCAGGCCTGGAAGAGCCACATCCCCTGGGAGCTGGTTAGAAATGCTGGCTCAGGCCCACTCCAGACCAGAGGAGTCAGCACCTGCCCGTTCCCCTGACCCCTGTGATTGACGTGCTGCTGTAGGAGTCAAACAATAAGACAGCACAGTGGCTACAGCCTAGATCTTGAAGCCAGACCCGGGTTCAAATCCCAGCTCTGCAGCTTACTAGCTGTGAGGCCTTCAAGTTATTTGAGTATCAGCCTCATTTTTCCTGAACAAAAAGTGGAGAGGACAGTACCTCCCTAGGTTTGTGCTGAACATAAAGTGAGGTCATGCAGGTAAAGGATGCACTTGACACATAGTCGTATGCCCTCGAGTTGGTTCAATTTCAACTCACAGCAGCCCTGCAGGACAGAGTAGGACTGCCCTACATGATTTCCGAAGCTGTAATCAAGCATTCAGATTACTGGATTCTTAACACACCTGTTTAGATTTGCAAGGCAAATTGAAAATATTCTTTACTTTTGTATTCTCCCCTCATCTAACTTTTCTTCATTCACCGTTCACAACAGATACCCTGGCTGCAGGGGTCAGCCAGGATCAGATGCTTAGGAAGATTTTGAAAGTTTAACGGGGATAAACTCCAGTAGTTTTAGCTCCTCATGAGGCAAAACAAAGTCTGGTACAACATAGAACCATGTCTAAGGTTCCGTTTGCCTCTGACCACCTTCCAAACCCTCGAGACGCAGACTGATGTGCATCTTACCATAATTCCATAACTCATTACTGGTTTGCAAAGCAAATGCTTCTCCTAGGTTTGTACCCCAAAGACATGAAAGTGAGGACTCAGATACTTAGATGCTGATATTCCCTGCAACGTCGCAAACGGAATGCTGCTCACATTGTATCAGACGCCGCTATTTAAGACTTAGCCCAAAACCAAACTTGTTGATGTCATTGTCTATTGAAATCAGGGCAAAAAAATCATACCTAATTGATGTTTGCTAAATTCAAAGGCATCTTCAGTAGCAAACAGAGTTCTGGGGAAACGAATAAATATTTTGGTTCTAGGAGTGGGAAAAGAAAAATCTGAATTATTAACTGGTCAGTTACCAACCTGACTTAAAGTTGCTTCAAG